TTCATTTGGTCACGAAAATAAGATCCGTACGGTCAAAATTCGCGTTTTCAAATCCTCCTTGTGAATATGTGGTCTGATCTGCTATTGGCGCCGACAGTGGAGGATGCCAGCCTAGAATTCGTCCTCATGTCGTCTGAGAGTGGTCGTTTCCACGAACAGTAAGTATGGCTGATTGCATCATCAGTGGGAGCGACTGTTCCCACGAACAACGGATATTTCTGGTTCTCCCTTCTGTGCGAGTGGCTGAATCACACCGACCCTAGGGGTTATTGATTGTCTCATCACTATAAAATAACAGATGGCATAAATGATTACCTGCGACGTTCACATGACAAAATGTTGGTCGTAAGGATCGCATGTGTCGCAGAGATTATGCAGCAGGGGAAAGTGACTGGTCACACCAACAGTGGGTGCATCTGTTTCTCTCTTCAGCGTGAACGCTGATCAATTCAACAGCGGGTGTCGATCACACCTGCAGTATGTCCCTCTTCAAGTCACTGAAGCGCCTCGTACGCCGGTGCCCCTTTCCACACCCCGGTCATGGCTGCCTAGATAACGTCTTTCCCGCCTGATCGCACTGTACTCCTGGCACTCTTGTTCTCTCTCCTCTGTCTCTCACATGGGAGCCTTCCATGGCTGTTGGTTCTGTCTTGTGACTCGGAACAGCTTTGGTTCTGTATTGTGACTCGGGAGGGGCATACTCATCTTCGTCTTCACTCCATAGCTCTGCGATAAGACTCCGAAGTCAATCGCGCTTATGCGAGGCACACCTGGCTCGCTGCTTCCTCCCCGGTTGAAACGCGCTATGCTGAGTGCCCCCTACGCCAGGCACTCCCTACCTTCTCGCCCAGTTTCTTTGCCTTTCTCCTCCCACACGAGGAGTAACCGCTTGCGCGCTGGGGGTTCTGCCCCGTGCTTTCTCCTCGCCCGCGGTGCAACCGCCTGAGCGCCAATGCCCCCACTCCGAGCTTCGTGTCGCGGGTACACCTTGCTCACCTGACCTTTCTCTTCCGACCGTCTTCCTTATATGGTTCCCCAGTTCACCCGAGCGTGGACCTCGGCCCAGTCCCAGCCCGTAGGCCTTGGCAAACTAGAGGTAATAACTCAGTATGCCCCAACAGTCCCAACTGGTCCACCCTTACCACTCTGTTTCGGTATCAGAATAGCATGTTGCATTCACTGTGAGTCCCCACTGTCGACAGAGAGCCGCTGCGGCAGGGGTATGCTGATGTAAGAATATAGGACCGGAGTGATCATGAACCAGGCCTATTACCGCAACGTAGCCGATTTGGACCAGATCAGTGTTACACACCAAGACTTGCCATAGGAGCATCGTATCAGCATCAGCCATGAGGTTATACCACACAAGCGCCAGGAGTGACGAATCTGCAGTCGTACCAGTCTTGGGCTGCCGCGCCGACGCTAATTATGAAGTTCAGAATTGCAACAATCCGCACCGTGCTAGTGTCGTCCCAGATCCGAACCCGAGTCGACCCGCTGCTGTAGTTCCGGACCTGTCGTAAAATGGTGTAGCAGTTCCGGACCTGAGAGTTAAAATCTCCGCGGGAGCCTTAACCAGCGCAAAACCTGAAATAAGTTGATGCCGAACCCACACCGAGCCTGGAACAATTGCTGTAACGGTGTCGGTTCCGAACCCGAACTTAGCTACCGCGGTGGTCTCTGACCTGAAAATAAATCACTACGAGGGTTCTGACCCTGAAAACGAGACGCCGTAGTGGCCTCATGCCTGAAACATACTGACGCCGGCCCCATACCGAACCAGAAATATACCGCTGCAGAGGCTGGAGGCCTAAAGATAAATCACCGCGGAGGTTCTGAACCTGAAATAGATCGTCACAGTGCTCCCGGACCTGAGAATAAATCACCACAGAGGTCCCGAACCTGAAATAGATCGTCACAGTGCTCCCAAACCTGAGAATAAATCACCACAGAGGTCCCGAACCTGAAATAGATGGTCACAGTGCTCCTGGACCTGAGAATAAATCACCACAGAGGTCCCGAACCTAAAATAGATCGTCACAGTGCTCCCGGACCTGAAAATAAATCACCACAGAGGTCCCGAACCTGAAATAGATCGTCACAGTAGTCCCGGACCTGAGAATAAATCACCGCAGTGAAACAGGTGTCACCGGGCCCATACCGTAACTGAAGCACGTCAGACACCGTAGGACGTAGCCACTCCGTAACATCCCTCGTACCCGCACCGAACCAAACATCATAGTGACCCAAGGTAGCACCTGTCCATGCGTCTCCCGCTCTCACAACATCCCAACTGCGGTAGTGTTAGTAATCAAGCAAACCAGCGAAAGCGACGCAGGGAACCTCGACCATCGGCAGTATTAAGAACTGTTAAAATCCGGGGAAAATGTTCAATCCGGGGTCAGGACTGATGGCGGGTAATCGAGGCGAAATTAGGCCAATCTCCGAATAATCATGGGTTCCCGTCCCTTTCATCGTTTTTCATCATTCTTCTCTTTTCTTAATTTTATTGTCGAAAATAGTGAATCAACTGTAAGTTCTCTAAAATTAAATTCCGAGAAAGTTTAAATAAATGGCCGAATTCCTTCTGTTTCTTTTCTCTTTTGCCATTTTTAATCTCTTTCTATGTTTTTAATTTCTTTGCCAGGAACATAAAATAACAAGAGTATTCCCCCTAGAATTAAATACCGTGAAAAATAAAGAAATTAAGGGATATTATGTTTTTTCCCTTCTCCCCTACCGGTCTTAATCCTTTACCCCCTCTTTTATTTTGGTACTAAAATAGACAAAAATTTGAGGCCTCTTTTCGGCCCCGGTCGTATTGCTGCAAAAACGTTGTAGTGAGGTCAGTTCCCGCGATGCCTCTTCGCGACAGGCCAATCCGAGTCTAACCTTCCGAACGACTGGAAATAGCGGTCTCTAGATATGCCGAGTGCGCCTACCCATCTCACCGTCTTTGAGGGTTAGTCGTAAGGTTCAGTGTGCCCAAAATCAGGGGTGCCCTGAGTTCCCCTAATTTTTGTTGTCTGGTCATACCAGAGTACCGTCAAAACACGGACTTGTCCCTGGGCCTAAGTCCCAAAACCGCAGATTTCAGGCGGCGCACTGCTTGTGGCCGCCTGACATCGTGTACCATGATGACGTGGCTGGGCAACGTGACTAGCACTGCTATTCTGATTCATCGTCACTCAAGAGGAGATTATGACTGTGACTGTGGGGTAATCGTGGACACTCATCTTGAGGTTGACATTGCTGCAGTGCACTGATGAGGACTTATTGACGTGCCACGTGGCACATTTTAATAGAACTTCAGATGTGCATTCAGACTATTGATTATTTGAGGTGGTGATCGAGGAGGGAGCCCGGAGCATAATTGGCGTACCCTTGAAGATGTCGTTCATCGCCCTCTGGAAGGTAGCGGGTGCGTTGGTGAGGCCGAATGGCATCACCGTGAACTCGTAGTGGCCGAATCGCGATCGGAACACGGTCTTCGGCTGATCGGCTGCAGCGACACGAATCTGATGGTAACCGCTACAAAGATCAATCTTCGTAAAGAAGCGGTTGCCTGCTAGGCGGTCGAACAGCTCGTCGGAACGAGGCATGGGGTAGCTGTTCTTAACCGTGTAGCGGTTGAGACCGCGGTAGTCGATGCAGAGACGAAGAGTTCCATCCGCTTTGCGAGCAAAGAGGACGGGTGCACCCCACAGGGAGTTGCTGGGTTTAATGAAACCCAGTCTCAGGAGCTCCTCAAGCTGACGCTTGAGTTCGGTGGCCTCGGGGATCGAGAGTCTGTAGGGTGCCTTGTGGTGAACACGATAGTCAGGCACGAGCTGAATGGAGTACTCGACGTCACACATCGGTGGGATGCCGGCGTACGAGAACGATGATGGGAAAACGTCGTGGTACTCTCGGATGAGGTCACGAACTGCGGGCTCCAAGTCAGCCGTATATCGTGCGACTTCCTCAGCGTCAGTGTCAGCGCGCGACGGCAGGGTGGACTCGACAGACGGTGGAGGGACGGAAGTAGAGATGGGAGCTATGGAGACAGAGGGAGGATCAGGCTCCAGAGGGATGAGCTCGGCGTCGGGACAGGGTGGATCATAGTGTAAGAGATCCATCACGTCCACCATAAAGAAGGTGACGTCATTCTGTCGAATGAAGTGAGCGAACTGCCGAGGCGAGGTGACAGTGATAGAGGGAGATGGTGTGGGYACTGAAGGCTCCGGGGGAGGAGGATCGGGGCGTGGTGTCGCCGTGGTACCTATGAAAGGTACGCGATACGTCTGTCCACACTTCGTTTTGAGAACGAGAGTGTTGGTCGCCCAATCGGCCTCGGTGTTACGGAACCGACGAGACCACGGAGTGCCGAGAATGAAGTCGTACCCCGTCTCCATCACATCGAAATGTGCAGAGGAGCGGTGGCGACGAGACGCCGGGGAATGCTCAGTCGGCTCGAGAGTGAGGAAGAAGGGGAGGTCGGTGACCGTCTGATCGAAGAAGCGCTGGGTCTTGTCATCCCCTAGGGTAACGGAGATGGGAGTCGGAGACCCTGTCGTGGGTAAGCAGGCTTCCTTCACCACGCGTGGGTGAATGAAGTCGTCCTGAGAACCGGAATCCCACAGCGCTGAGTACACCCTCATGGAGGTCCCGAGTCGTACGGGGATGATCGGGAGGGTGCGATCAGGGTCAGAGAGGATGGCGAGAAGGCGACGCAGTGCAGCGACATGGAGGGTGAGTCGCTCCTAACGGGCCTGGAGCATGCTCAAGTCCAGACGAGAGGACACAACGTCCTCGCGAGTAGCAAGCTACTCGCTGCAACGGGCTGAGCGAATGGCTCGACGCGTCGGTAGTCGCGGCGGGGAAGGAGGGGAGACGGTGGTCTGCAGAGGCGCAGACGGTACTGCGACAGAGGGCTGAGTACACTCTGTCGAGTCCTGCGATACCTCAACTCCAGTAGCGAGAGGGGCGAACCGCGACGGAGATGTCGGGAAACCCACTACTGAGGAGGGCGCAGGTGTACACTGCACAGTGGCTAGGAGGCGCCGCGGGGACGTGAGGCGCCGGGGGGGGACGGAGCACAACCCTGACGAGAAAGGTCAGCGTAGTGGCGGTCGAGGGCGGTAGTGTAAGGGCACCGCGAGGAGGTATGACCGTCCAAGCGGCAGCGCAAACACCCACACCGGCCCAGAATAGCCGCGCGCTCCTCAAGGGAAAGGACACCAAGCGGAGGGATGAAGCCCTGAGGGAGGTCTTCCTGAGGGACCTCGGGGGGCGATGCGCCAGCGTGACCGGGACGGCTGCATGCCCGAGAGAGGGCAGAGAGCGCGAGCTGAAGGCGCTCATCTGCAGGGAGGGTAGAGTCCTCCACGTGATAATTAACCACCTCGCAGAGATCGAGGTCGTCGTTGAGGTCGCCCTCAGATGACAGTGGGGCAACAGCGTCCTGCTCACCATACTCCAGCGCGCTGAAGCGGCGCGAGAAGTGGCGGCCTTGCTGTGTGGAACGGCGGGGGCGACCGCGGAAAGGGGAACGGCGCTGGGAAGAGCCGTGAGAGGAGGAGGAGGCGTAGCCCGTGCGCTGGGGCTGGGAGGAGGAGGCGGGGTGAAGACGGGTTCGCATCCGCTGGTGGTCCCTGGCGGCCTCGTAAGCCTGTGGGGCCAATGTGAATTCGTACCGCCATAGCTCGGAGCGGTACTCGAGCGGAAGGCTTGCCAAGAAACGATCGATAAGGGCAGCCTCGGGGAGGAACGCCACGTCGCAAACGAGGCGGGCGTCCTGAAAGACCTGGATGTGGCAATCCAGGCCGGCAGCGCCACCAGAGCCGGACCAGCGTGTAGTGACGACATGCTCAAAGGCGTCAGTCACGTCGTATCGGGCTCCGAAGCGATCCTCGAGGAACGCCTGGAAATCCACGAAGGTCGGAGTCTGACCCTCACGAAGGGAGTAGGCATAGAAATCCTCCCAAGCCTCGAAAGGACTGCCACGCAGGCGCGTGGAGAGGTGACCCACCCACGTCTCGGGTGTGGCGCCCATGAGCTGGAGTGTGCGGGTGGCAGACCAGGGTTGTCACCCGGGGACCCCCGCGGGCAAAGCCAGGGCCGGGATTTCACCCCCGGACCCCCTCCCGCGGAGGCGCCGACCCCCGGACCCTGCAATCAACCCCGGCGCCCGCCCGACCGCCGGCACCCCCGTGGGACCCTGGCCCCGGCACCCGGCAACCCGGCCCCGGCCCCGGACCGCCGCCGACCCGGGCCCC